TGTGCCTCTGTGTTCCTCTGTGTGCCTCTGTGTTCCTCTGTGTGCCTTGGTGTTCCTCTGTGTTCCTCTGTGTTCCCATGTGCCACCAGTTCATTTTCTCTGAACCTTTCCTCAATCAACCTGCCACGCCCATCTACACCTGTTCCCTGTTTCATCCGCCACAGCTGCAGCCGCTCCTCCCATCAGCCCCAGTTCGTGTGACCTTTCTGTTTCTCTTCACTCATCAGTGGAGCATCGTTGGTTTTCAGGCCACGTCCGGTTCTTTTTGGGCGCCTTAGAGTCGTCTTGTGCTACCTGGTGTTACGTAAAAATTTGCTGCAAGTTTAGTCTTTCTGTTTTGATTAAATGAAGTTTTAAATTGTCTTTGTCTGCATTTTTGGTCCAACCTGCTCTTCAAAGGTGACAATATGTAATGAGAAGTAAAATTTGTTCACAAAAATAAAAGCTTTTAAATGTTATGTATTTTTTAGAAGCGTTTATTTTCTGGTGAGGTAGGACTGGTTTTGCTAACACGCCAAGCTAACATGATGCTCCCAACTTTTGTTTTGAACATTAGATACACACAGTTCTCGTATTTCTATTCCAGTTTTGTTTATTTTTCCCCTCGATGAAACTCAAATGTATTTCTGATAACAACAACTGTCCGACAGAACATCTGCAGGTCTCCAGATGTCAACACGTTTTCTGCAAAAAGTCATTTTCAGGATTATAGTTCAATTAATTTTGAGATTTCTAAGTTATTTAGTTGTTGCTGTTGTTTAGACTCATCTATTTTATCATATTCTGCCGTATTGAATAAAAATAAACATTCTGTCCAGACAACAGCAGCTTTCACCTTAAAGAAAAGTCACATGAACTTTGCGTGTGGAAATCCTGTTTTATTTTCATTTTTATTATTAGCTTGTGAAACATGTTCTGCACATATGTCCCTTATGATTTTGGAACCTGTTCACATGTGGTCACATGATTTATTGCATGGGATCACATGTAAAAGAACACGTTAAACACGTGTGTTGTGTTTTCTTCAGAGCAAGTATCTTCAAGGACTTCAGTTGCTGTTTTGTTGCTTCAGAAAGTGCATGATTGGCCCCAGAATAAAAGCTTAGTCCATTTTATTTGTAATAAATCTTATTTTCATCTGTTTTCCAGCAGCCCACAGGACAGATACTTTTTGTTGGTCTTTTCTCACCAACACTCAGCAACAGCAGCACCACGATCAGCGTGAAATCATTGATGTGTGAAATGGAGTGAAACCTCAAAGGTCCACAGTAAAATAAATACCTAACTGCATCAACAGAGTATAAACCTGCAGGAAGAAGGGTCAGGAAGACTCAAACTTAGGAGACTTAAGCTTTCTGACGACAATAAAAAATATATTTTTGTTCCTCTATATCTTGTAAGCTCAGGAATAAGAAAATAACTTTCTGTTTTGTTTGGGTCTGTTTTAAAAGATGTTGTAGATTTTTTTTTAATACTGAAAAAAATAAATCCCAACTTGTACCTTCAAGCTATTCTGTATGAGGGAGTTTTGATTTATAATGGTTTAAAACTTGGGGAATAAAATGCTAAAACTTTTTTTTTCCTCAGTACAATGCAGTGGTTCCCAACTCTGGTCCTTGAGGAACACCATCCTTCATGTTTTAGTTGTTTTCATGCTATGACACCTGATTTGAATGAATTTGTGATTAGCAAGCTTCTGCAGAACTTGATGAAGTAATTAAATCACTGAATCAGGTGTGTTAGAGCAGGGAAGAAACTAAAACATGCAGGATGGCGTTCCTCAAGGACCAGGTCTGTGAACCACTGCAGAGCCAAACGAGGTGCTGTTGGGTTGTAAAAGCAGTTGTTGTTTCAGTTAACTAATTGTTTTGTGTTCTAAATAAAAATATGATGTGCGATATTGTTATATTTGCTTAAAATGAGCTGTTTCTGCAAGTGGTAACTCGTTTTTTTCTTCTCATCTTCTATTTAGGACCATCGTGGTGTCAGAAGATGTTTCCTGGCTGCAGGTTGGTTCTGGTTCTGCCTCCTGTTTTGTGTGTGTATCGGTTGTGCGTTAGAGAATTTGGAGGCTGTTTGTTAGAAAAAACTCCATGTTTGTTTAAAGGCTTCTCTTGGTGTAACTCTCACACCCATGCTCTACGGTTAATCTTCTGAAAATGTAAGTTTATAAGTAAACATCTCAGTGAAACACTGCATCAAGGCTTTCTTCATCAGTATACAGTTTCTATTAATAAATGAATAAAAATCCCAAAAGGTTGGAAACTGCATCTTTCATGCACATGTGAAATATTTTGCTGAATGCATTTTTTAAAAATTGTTTTATTGGTACAAACATGCAGTTTTATGTCAGGTTCTTGCTTCTTATCAAACTAGGTCAAGGTCAAGGTCAAGGTTTCTTTATTGTCATTCACATCAAAAGAAAAAAACGTAACAAGATCTAAGATATTAAGTAAGAAATATGCTAAGAAAGAATAAACAGATGGTTTTTAGATTAATAAATGTTGGACAGACAAGATGAGCAATTTAAAGATGTTACACGATGGTAATATTTTGTTGCATTTAGACAGTTTGAACAAGAAATGGGAACAATTAGTGAAAAAAAAAAACAATGTTTCCAGGTAATTTAGAAAATAATCTGTTAAATAATAATAACAATAAAATAAAATGAAGCAATGTAACGATGCTGACAATAAAAGTATTAAAATGACAAAACCTACTTGTTAGAAGTTTAATAATTTTTATTCAGTCAGTTGCTGTTTATTCCATGACACGATTTACTTTAAGTGACGCAACAGTTGGTCAATTTATTGGTCTCGGCTTCAGTAAAGTAAATATTTTCTGATGTTCCTTACATGATAAATCACATATCTCTGGATTTTGGACTGCAGTTTAAACTAAACATGACGTCTGATAACTCCCGCTTCATTTTACACTCAATCATCGTCTAGTTTACCTGAAAATGGTCATAATTAACCACTTTTCTTGTCATAAATTCATAGGAAATGCTACAATTTGCTGTGTTTTATTTAATAAATTTGAGATGCAAGTCTAGGGCAGCACGGTGGCGCAACTGGTAGAGCTGCTGCCTCTCAGCGAGCAGGTCCCTGGTTCAAACCCTGGTCCAGGGGCCTCTCTGGGTGGAGTTTGCATGTTCTCTCCGTGCATGCGTGGGTTTTCTCCGGGTACTCCGGTTTCCTCCCACAGACCAAAAACATGCATGTTAGGCTGATTGGTAACTCTAAAATTGTCCCTAGGTGTGAGTGAGAGAGTGATTGGTTGTTTGTCTCGTTTGTCTCTGTGTGTCCCTGCGATGGACTTGCGACCCGTCCAGGGTGTACCCCGCCCCTCGCACAGTGATTGCTGGACATGGGCACCAGCGACCCCCGTGACCCAAAA